GAGAGAGAGAGAGAGAGAGAGAGAGAGAGAGAGCTGCAGTATGCTGAAAACAAAGTCAAACTTGCTCAAAATAGAACCACAGCCGAAGACGGTTGCGCATACAAATATGTGTATACCCCGGCTAACTTTGATTTTCTTGTTTACTACATGGTGGTGGAGGTGCAGGAGGACTAAAGAAACAACTACAACCAAGAAAAAAAAAATCCAGAAATAGCAGCGAGAATAACTCCTGCGAGGAAAGTGACAAAGTCAAATGAGGGGATTTCGAAGGATTAGAGCGGAAAGTTTACAGGAGTCGGAAAGTTGCCGACCTCCAGGTGACCTGGAAAACAAGGGGCAGTGAGTCGGGGGGAAAAAAAAACAGAGATGCCCACACACGAGGTCAATCGTTATCAGACTGTAGGTAAATAATTCAACCAGCTTAGCCAGCAAGCTTGCACAATCCTGTCAGTCAGCACTGTAGAGGCTTATTGATAGTGTGATAACTATTCATTAAATGTCAGTGCATCGAGTAAAGTGTAGAGGAGCAGGTAGCTACTAGTCTATACCTTTTCCATGATGTCCCTGGTGGTGGGAGTGTCAGGCGTGTACAGGATCTCTCCCATGAGCATTGGTTTGATGAAGGCCCACGCGATGGCTCCTCCGGTGGTATTGACCATGTCCAGGTACATGTTCTGACAGAAGGGAGCTGCACAAGAAAATATGAAACGTAAAGTATTCACACAGGTGGAGTGAAGATAATTTATGAGCTTAACCTATAAAGCTCTATGACGTGATATTGTTCTAATCATTAACAAATCCGGACCAAACAAAACCTTCAATGCATAGGTGAGTAACTTAATGCTTTGCAGCTACAGGTATTTCCCCTACACTGCCTCTATCCTAGAGCCCATTCATTCCTAATTAATTTAATTGTTCATCACAAGACAAACAGAACGAAATGTAACGCTGGCAAAATAACACTTTCACTGATGTCGTCATCGTTGTGAATGGATTTCTAGCTACTCGCTTAAGCTGCTGTTTCACTTTTGAGCTTTGAATTTTCACTTCTTGTGGGCAGAGAAGTGTCCCCACATGTCAGACTTGTTGAAAAGCAATGTGGGTCCGTTACTGCCGCCCCTTCATGCTTCAACAAAGCAGGCAAACAGCTGCTAAAACTTGGTAAAGAACATCTTCTTGACGTGCATACACAACATAATATTTGTTTTTGACTCTGTCTATAGTGTAGCTACTCTTATTAATTTATTAAAAAATACTGTAAATGCTTCTGACAGCATATTAAGCACAAGTAAAACACTGAATATCAACACCAAATAACCGCACTGCTAAGAGGCTTCGGTTTGCTCCGGATTTGTCCGACTTACTGGCATTTCGTGGAATCTTGAACCTGTCGATCATCTCCTCCCTCTGCTTGTTGTCGGTGAAGGAGGGGCTTGGCTCGGACACGGCCGGGAGTTTGGAGATCCCAAACAGAGCCATGATGCCGTTGTTGCACAGCGCTCGGGAGAGGGTCACGAACGTGGCCTGGGTAGAGATGGTGCTCCTCTGTCCTCTTGTCATCTTGGGAGGGGGAAAGAGAAAAACTTTTCAATGTAGCCCAGGTCCAAAAGCCTTAATTAAACAATAATGACTGAACCAGTATTGATTGCAGCAGTCATGGGTGGCAGGAACATTTCAGAGCACTGCTTCCGACTCGGTCAAAGCCCCACCAACAAAGACGCCCATCTAAATAAATGGTAGGTTAAACAAAGGGAACACACCTGTTTAAATTCATTGCTGGCGGCAAAGTTGAGGTCCTCGATGGAGAGCAGGTAGCTCTGCAGTTGATTGAAAGCGGGAAGAATCCTGTCCATCATGTCTGTTAGAGATTGAACCATCTTAGCCATGACTCCCACCACGCTCTGCATGTCTTCAGACAGCACGAACTGAAAGAAAGGCAGTGACAGTCAGACGCGATTCATTCGACGGCTTGATTTTTCTCACTGTGACACTTCTTCTCTGTCTTCTCTTGTCTTTATATTCAACAAACACACTTGACATTCCTCATGTTTCCCAACACTGTATTTCCTCTGTTGCGTTTTGCTTGAAAGGTCTTGAAAGTGAAAATTAAATAATAGGAGTATTCCTCGAAATGAGCAACGAGGACACTTTAACAGAGATTTATCAAATAACAAACTCCACTATTGTGACAGTAAATATGTGCACGAGGCAAAAAAAATTAAACAATTAATCCCCTCTACATGCCAGGAATAAACATTAAAGACAACCTTTGACGGGCTACGTTTTTTTTCCCCATCTGCTCTTTGCTTTAAATAAAATAATGAGTTGAAACAAGCTAAAAAGCTCCGAGGAGCTGCGAGGAACTGGTGACAATGCTTTGTAGGTTTATCATTACGGGAGACACATTTTACATAGACGCAGTCATTTGATCCTCTAAAAACAGCTTTAAAAACTGCTAAAATCAACCAATCGGTAAAGAAAGATGAGAAACAGTAGCTGCATTTTATGTTTTCTTTTAAGACTTTCCGACATAAGCATCAGAGATCCACAGAGGAAAGAAGAAAAGTGACATCTGCAATATGACACACTGTAGGTTACGCAATCCAGATCTGCTGTTTCAGGTTAATTTGTCGTTATTAAATGGAATTTTGATTTATCAAAATCCGATGAAATAAAAAGTTGAACAAAACTAAAATTACCTTTCATGGTTGAAGGCTATTAAAGACTTAGCTTGTATGGTTTTTAGTCGGATCAGTCATTCTGTGTAGTTAAACTAAAAGTGCTGTCAATAAGTCTCAAACATCGATTGTGTGTTGGAGCTATTTGGGATGGACAGGGTTTTTTTTTTTGGTGGATCAAACAGAAACACATCAGTTATAAAAGAAATAATTCAGAATGTGTCAGGAAAAAAAAAGAGCTTTGTCTGTTGAACAAAGGCTTTTCTTTCTGACTCACATGTTCCCGAAACAAACACGCTGTAAAAGGAACGTGTTTTGTGAGCGAACACAAATGATTCGCGGTCTCATTACAGAATACTGTGCACTCACAGGACTCGCGCATTATGTGGCGCTTGCACAGAACGAGGGGCAAAAGTACTTCGACAAAAGACTCACTCTGTAGACGAGCTTCTCCAGTTTTACGTGCCTCGCCGTCAGCAGCGAGAATTCGTACCACTGCGTCACAGACATGGAGCAGAAGGTCTTCAAGATGACCTCATCTGGCTGATTCTTTTCAGCGGACGCTGAGGTGTTGCAGTGACTCACGTTCACCAACCAGGAGAGGATCTGTTGCAGAAAGCATTAAGAGAGGCAATGTTGTCAACAGGAGCAGTGGACAACATATCCAAGATCCCATTCATATACTAAAATATACAAAAACTAATACCAAACTCCTGCTTTCAAACGGTTCATCTGAGGATTTATAGGGTAAATACGATTCCAAGCCCCTGTATGAAAGGGGCATTTTGGGAAATGGTGGGTAAACAACATGTACCATGTTTTTAGACAGGTAATAAGAATCAACCACGGATGATGAGGACTCGGTGAATCAGTGAAGGAAAAGGGTCAATCAGGCTGAAACTGTTGGCAATCATGGAAATGGGTTCCAATTCGCAGGATGCATGTGGCCACTCGTTGCTCTCGGGGTTTTTAGTTTACTCTGCTGTATGATGTCGTGTTTTACCTCCAGTTTTTCTCTCTCTCTCTGTACTTCTTCCTGCCTAATCTACAAGAGGGCAGCCTTTCAATCTGCTCTGCTGAATGGCTTGCCCTGGAGAAAGGCTCCGAGTACAGTGGCCAGCCACTGAGTGATGTTGATTAGCTTTGCAATTCAGTTCACTGTACTGTAAAGGCGACAGCAGGATTTTCTTTAGCTTCGCTGATAATGTGTTGAATACAGCAAACTGGAAGTTGCATTTAAGCTGCACCGTGTGGCACCAGTCTCAGGAAACGTACACTGCAACCACCACAACGCCAGCGCACACAACACATTGGTATGTATATAAAGACATACAGGATCACTTGTCTGAACGGCTACAGACGGAGAAAAGGCAGCCGATGCATGCTGTCCTTGACTCACCTCGACATTATTGTTCGGTAGAGTGGTGTTCATCAGGAGGTGAAGAGCTGCCGGATCAAAATTCATGTGTCGTTCGACGTCCAATACAAAGGCTGTTTTGTTCTTCAGCATCTCGCCGACTGTCATGGCTCCTGGGAGACAACAGGACGCAAGTGCTAGTCAAGTATTTTTATTATTACTTTTTTCAAATGTAGAACCCGTACATCTATTTTCATTCAAAACAGCAGAAGCTCTACAAACAGATGAGAAATCTTTGAATTTTTCTGTTTTTTTTCGATCAGATTTTTAAATATTTAGCGAATCAGTGAAGTCTTAACATGGCGCCATATACCAAGTGCATCTATTACTATCCACAAATATGTTCACATGCAGCTTTATACTGGCAATTCCAAATGCTCGTTTTTATACGAGCGTGCCTGTTTTGGCCACATTTAGAAGCTAAAATGTGCAGTGTCGAGTGACCTCAACCATTTACCAGCCGGTCACAACCAAACAGACAGTAGGTTCAGTGTTTACTGCAGCAGCAAACATGGACCAAATCACAATGGATAAATTGGGCCCGAAAATCATTTAGTTGTGTTGCATTCACAGCAACAAGCAAAGCGGAGTCACCAGACAAAAATGAGCAAGAGATGAGCTAAAATGAGCAGTCTGTTGTCATGAAAAGGCTTCTGATCTGCTGTTTTCTATTTGTAGAGTTTGTTCTGTTGTTGTCAGTTCAAAAAGGACAAAAGAGTTTAATTTGGGCAGCTTTACTTACAGAGCGCAACAAATCATATATAAGGACCAATATATATATAATGTATATTGACGTGCAGTATGTTTAGTATTTCAAAATGGATAATCACTGCAATATAAACAATGCCAGATTTAAACTCTCCCTCTTTTATACGTCTCTTTCCAAACAATCAAACAAAACAACATTAGGAGAACAAATACAATCTGTGCCAAGATAATGGCATAAATGATGGGAGCAATAACAAAAAAAAACTGCAGCATTAGTGCAGGAACGCACAACATCACAGCATTAAAAACAGAAACTGCTGCGATATCGAAAAACGTCTCACCTGGGGAGGTGGCGTTAATGTTGAGAGACCTCAGGCTGCTGGTGTTAAAGCCCAGACCTTTGCTCATCACAGAGCTCCTGTGAACACAACACAGACAAATCCACGTTAATCAAGAAACATGAAAATTATTTAGCAGCTAAATGGACCCAGGTGAAAATTCAGTAAAACCAAAACAAACAAACAGGAGGAGGTCATTTTCTGAGGCTTCAATACCATTAAATCCTGCAAGGTGAGGTTTGTAAACTGCAGGGGCTTAAAATGACTCTAAATGGATACGAGAGGTAACTGTCTTTGAGCAAAGCGCTGCTCTCTGCTGTGAGAAAAACCTTTATGAAGGATGAATGAACAATGAACCATTCTGTACCAGTTTGCATGGAAGTTGTAGCTCATGGGGTCTCCGACGACGGTCTGGAAGACGGCGTCCGACATGGCGCTCGTGTTCATTTGTAGACTCTCGACCAAGACTTCCAGGAGGGGAAAGAGCGTTTGGCAGAGCAGGCCAGGCCCGATCGAGAGGGTCTCCATTATCAGGCGCGCAGAGTCCTTATTCTCCAAGACACACACCTACAATGAAGCAGTCATTTAAATATTTGCTCGGGGCCTTTATTGACAGTGACAGTGTAGAGAGACAGAACGCTAGAGAGTGGAACTGCAGAGGGCACTGCAGCCCTCACCGATGATCAAATCAGTCCTACAAGCACAATATCTTTTTTGGGTCTAGTTTTAGGATCAAATACACGTGGGAGCCAAAAATTGTGTCCTTATGTGGCATGAGGATATTTTACTTGATGGTGGACAAAAAAAACAAAACAATCTGCCTCACTGTACTTCAAAGATCCAACTAAAAAAGTTTGACTGGGCTTTTTGTAGCCCGTTTGACACGGCTAACAAACAATAGCTTTTGGCATTTAATTAAAAAAAAAAACACATCAGCATCACTGTCGACCGACAAAAACCCCTTTGAAACAACTCAGCGTCATAACGACGATTTCTTACGCACATCTTGAAATAAAGATTTTATTTAAATGAAGCATTAAGCAAAGAAAATATTGGATTTTACTTAATTATGAAGCCATAGATGTGTATACACATATGAGTGGGACTAGGAAACGATAACATACGTGTTATACTGTACTCCTAATTAAAAATCTGCCTATTAAAACACATATAGATGAGATTTTCTATGCAAGCATATTGCATTCTCAAGAGAAAAAAATAAGTTAGCTTCTCATGAGATAGTAAGATTATGATTCTCAGGCAAATTCTGAATTATGAGAAAGCCAGTATCATGAATGGGACTGTGCCTCAGGATTATTACTGTATGCATGAGGCAGGAATATAAATGCTTTGGAAGTTGCCTGAGAATCTGTCAATTCTAAGATTTCACCAGTATAACAATATTTCACTGATAGTTCTCGGTACAAAGCAAAAACAAAGCTAATTCGGTGTACTATGATTTTCAAGATGCAAACAAATATAAAATAAGAATTACTGATTTGCGGTTGTGAGCCTCAAGCAACCAGCGAAGTTTGCATCCATGTCTGGTCGGACTCGTATAATATATGTAGTGGAGACTCTGAAGGAATTTAATATGTGGAGAAATACAATCATAATGTCTCCTTCTGTTTCTGAGTTACGTCATTAAACTAGTGAAGTTAATGTCTGATCTTCTGGATATCAGACATTTTTATTCTATTAGATATATATGGGATGTTTTTTTTGCATAAATCATGTGTCATTTCTTGAGTTATGTCATGCTTTGTGAGGTTACAGTGATCTTTGACCACCAATATCGGATCAGTTCACCCTTGATTGAATGTTAAACTTAAAGAAATTCTCCTAAAGCATCTAAGAGATATTGTATTCATTAAAAAAAAAATAAAAGAAATGATGCCTCTCGCCACATCTGTTGCCTGTGTGGAGGCATCATAAGCTCATCACTGCTGTCCTCATCATTGTTTACCGCATTAAAATCTGCACATAATAATGACATCTTTTCTCAGAATTATCTTTAATGTTCCACAAAAAAAATCTCCTAAATGTTTTGTTTTTGTTTTTTCTTTTTGTGATTGCAAACAGCTTTGGTAGTTTTCCATTTCAATTTGCCATTTTTCCTACTTGGACCAAGGATAAATGTGTGAAAGTGGCACGGCCACTGCAGAGACCTGGGATTTCAGGTGGCCCAGTTGCTCTGTGAATTGCGGGTCTGTCAGGTTGATCTTGAGGAGCTCGGCAGCTGTTTGGAAGGTCTGCTGCATCAGTATCCGGCTGTCTGTGAAGGGCAGGAGAGAGAAAGAGGGAGAAGCAGAGAGGGAAAAAAAAAAAAAAAAATGAGAGTAAGAGAGAGAGAGACGCTATTGGAGTCTGGAATCTTAGAGTAAGGTCTGTAAGGTGACAGAATAACATGACATCCCACTGGGCTTCATTACGACTCGCGCCATTACGGGGCATCGTCGTCAGGCAGCGAGCAGCAAATGATGTGCTTAAAGTGAAGCCCTGTACGGGACTGATGGGGCCAGAAGGGCCGGCAGTACGAGATGCTGTCGTGCATTAAAACACATCTGACAAGCCCTAAGAAAGGCACCACCTCAGGCAGCGAGAAGTGATGACAGAATATTTAATTAGTCCAAAATTAGACAATGGCGATGTTTAATCTCAGGCTGCTCAACACCTAGAGGCCTTTGCAATTACAACAGTGCGTTGTGTATGTGTGTGTGTATGAAGCATAAGAGTGTGGTTGCAGAGAAGTGAAGCTGCTGCTGCTGCTGCTGCTTACCAAGTGATTCTATGCACTAAAAACATTATCACACAAGCACAGACGCAAATTAAAAGGAGGTCATAGATGTCCACTTGTGTGAGTGCGAGGGGAGACGTTTAGCGAGGGCGGACAGGATAAGTGATTGAATTCTACTTTGCTAATGAGATTTAAAAAGGTGCTGAGTGGCTTTCTGCTGGAGAAGGGCCATATGGCCTTGGGCTCTTTGGGAGCTGAAGCTAAGCTGGTGCGAAGTCTTATTCCTCATATCTCCAGAATGAATTTTGCAGCACTGTAATCATGTATACAGTAATAACAGCATTAGCAAAATGCTTTATGGTGTCCCTGCTGTACTCTCTCGCAGTAGCTATCCAAAAAAAAAAGTTAGAGAAAAGGGTGGCATCCTCCCAAGCTGTGTGACCGTTTAATGGCGGACTGTGTTTATGGCTGCATTCTGTCACAGCAGGTATGTAAACACAAGCTGTAGCATCAGTGCGAGCCCTTTAATGCAGCAACAATTAGACGAAGCATGAGTGGGAGGGAATTCACTGTGGAGTCAGTAGGTAAAGTTAACATTCATTTGGGCATTTTCCATTTAACTAATGAGTGCACATTTCTCTTTATAAAGCTGCTCTTGGAGCAAGAAGCCTATAACTGTCCGGACTGAGTCAGAGAGATGGTGTATCTGAACCGCTAAGTTACCTTGAGATTCATTGGCCAGCGCTCTGATGAGATCTTTAATCTCAGTGGAGAACGGGAAGCCTTCAGGGATCATATCAGCAACATTGGCTGCGACATCTGTTGGTGGCCTGAGGAAAAATAAACAAGGGCTGTTTATGAAACAGAGGCCGACATAATGGTGAACTATAAAACAAGATTGAGAGCAGTTTGCACATGTTATGGCAAGTTTAGATATTAAGCAAACTTACATTAGAAGCATGCCAGGGACAGTGAGGGAGGAGAGCAACCCCAGGGCAGTGTCAACAGTCTCTTCCCGAGAGGCGTTAAAGCCCCACGGCATGCCATGAGTAGCTCCCTTCAGCACAACACCCAGATCGGGGTTGGCAAAGAACACGTGGACTGTCTCCATAACCTCTTGTGTGGTAGGAGTGACAGCGAGGGCTCTGAACATGGCTGGGTAGTCGATGTTGAACAGCTCTATGAAGTCATCCATTGGGTCCCTCATCATCATCATCACAGGGGCTTCGCGTCTTTGTCTGACTCTGCGGTTGTTGCCCATCATATCTGACCCAATCCTGGGACGGTTGTTCATGGGGGGCAGAGGACTACCAGTGCGTACCCACTGCTGAAGCATTGCAATTACGTTCTCAGCCAGGTTTTCAAACAGTTCCACATTTGCTTCCATGTCCATACTCATCTCGGCCAGGACGGACAAGAGAGGCTTGAGGATGTCGTGTATTCTGGGCAGAGCCTGACTCAGCAGATCCAGTCCAGACGCTTGGGTGGAGGCCAACCACTCCGACATCTCAGCCACCTTCTGCACGATCAAGCTTGTGTCATTGAATGCCAGAAATTGCTCCAAGGCCTGGTAAACCATAGGCACGTCCCCCAACACCTTCATGTCGATCATCATTTTGACGGCATCCTTCATCGTGTCGATAAGAGATGTCTCGTTAAGTCCGGTGAAATTTCCCCACATCATGGCGGGGATGTCAGATGAGGTGATGTTTGCAGAGGTCAGGAAAATCATTGCCGCTTCTTCGAAGAGCTTCTCCGATGAGCTGCTGTTCTGAAAGCGCTGGGGATTTTCCAGGACGTGGCTCAGTGCTTTCATTATAGCTTCGGTGTACGGCTGTAGGTAGGGGGCCACACGAAGCAACTCGTCTGAGAGCATTTTGATGGAAGACAAACTGTAGAGAGAAGAAATTCGCTGAATTTTAGATGAACTTCATTCTACTGAATTATGCAAAAATATCAACATGAACTAAAAACTGTGAGAGGATTTTAAGGCCTAGAGCACTTCTAAGCGGACCAAAGACTAATTTTCTCCAACATCTTTAATGCAGTGCAACCCATGTTTTTATCCATTTCCTTAATAAAATGATTCCATTCCATTAATTTCTGAGATTTGGAAAGAAGGGATATTCACTTCTCGTCACAATTTACACTTATTCACACGGTTTTCCCGTTTTATCCTCGGTAATAGGCTGTGGAGTCTTTTCCGCTGTGATCAGTGATCTATAACTCATGTACTAAGACCTGATTGATTTCCTGCGATATGCAGAATGTGATCTTATCACCATGCCGGTCTCATTATTGCAGCTGGCATATAAAGGGAAATCAATTTTAAGAGGATGTCTCGGCTAGCTGAATCATAGTTAAGCTGCTGTCTGTGCAGGCCTGCCTGTTTTCAGGCAAACCTGCATTAAATTAATCAAGCTGAATGCAAATGTGATCACTCCAATTCCTTGTGTAATTAGGTGTGATTCAAATTGGTTTGACTGGTGCATTGTGGATAATGCTGCAACAACAAATTGAGTGGTAAGTTCAAGGTGAGTTCATGGATGCTGTCGGCGGGTCTGTGTGGAGAAGCAGTTGACTTACGGCAGAATTAATGGAAATGTTCAGAACGTTTCCGCACTCGATGCACACTCGATGCTTTTAAAAATCTTCAGACTGTCGTGTTCAGTGAGTTGCTTTTTGTGGCTGCATGACTTTTTTTTTAAATGACTCCTCACATTCTTCTGACCCATCTGATCTGGTGAGGCCTTTATAGGTGCTATAATGCGTGTTTGTTGTCACAAAGGTTTTTGAAACAATTTCTCTTTATTCTTATTCAATGCTACCATAAAAAAAAATCATGTAAATTTTGAAAGTGTAGAGCGTTATTTTCATGTGATGTCTCATCAACAGGAATGCCGGATTCACCCCAAATGCAATTCCCTGTGTTTTCCTTTCAAGTGAATCAAAACCACAGCATAGAGCACATTGTGTTAGCAGCGACAAAGCCTGATTGTAGCTGACCTGTTTTGCGCCTGCATGTCCTGGAGCTGCTTGAACAAGTAATGCTGTGCCCCGGGGCTCAGAGGCAAGTCTGTCAGCATGGAGAGCTGCTTGAAGAAAGTCATGACCAACTTCTCTGCCACAACTGTGCGGTAAATGCTGACGTCGTAGAGAGACTGTACACTCTTGACGATCCTGGCAGCCGCGGCGCTCACACTGATTGGTCCCACACCCATGTGCTGTGCAGACAACATACAGCGAGACATGGACTGTTAGTGTTTTGCAGCGTTCCCTGTGTGTGTCAACACTGCCACCGCGTGGTGAAACTGTTAATTGTTGCTTGAGTTAGGCTTTTAGCACACATTTTACTCTTTATTCTGACATGGCAAACAAATACACTATCAATTAACTTTGCTTTTTTAAATTTCCTATTTGACTTGCCATGTGCCTACTCACAGTTGTGTTCAGCTGGGAGTAGACCGCCTGGGCTGCAGCATAGGACTCCAAAACAGGCTGCAGACTGATGTTGCACCACATAGCCATGGTCACATTGCTTAACCCCGCCGCCTCTCTCATCGGCTCCCATGCTCGGAGAACTTCACGGCACTTCAGTGTGCCATTAGCCTTGAGGGAGGGGGGGGAAGAAAGACAAATGTCTTGTGTTTCATGTGCATTGAAAAGAAAAACCTGTTCAGCATGCAAGACAGTGATTAAAATAGAACAAAGTGTCCAGGAGACAAAAGGCAGAGTCGCAAGGGAAATATCTTAATCGCTCTCTTCTGTCGCTTTACATAGAAGCAAAGAAAAGGGCAGAAGACTCACACAGGTATCATCACGTCCTACAAACTGGTACACACCCACACTTACTGTATACATATACACAAGCAGCCCATCGGCTATAGAGTGTCGCCACGTCAGGCGACTCTGAAAGGCTTTATTAAGGTTCTCAAGCTACAAGACAAACACTAAACCCTTGACAGTATAGTCTAAACTCTGCAGTGTACGATTACATGGGTTTTTAGGACTGAAGATATGTTGAGAAAAGTATGTTCTCAGGCTGGGTTAAGTAAATAAAGTAATAAATATGACAACTGTAAGTTTTAAAGTGAAGTGAACTGAACAAATACGTACATTTAAAGTATTATTTTAGCATTTTGGCAAACACACAAACAAATGAAAGAATGTCTGTATGGTAAATAAGAGAGCTGCGGGTGAGCTTAGCAATCTGTGGTGGTTCACAACATGCAACATGTTCATGTGTGAGCCTTTGAGATGCTGGTAGGTGGCTTGAATAGCCTTTGGGTAGACACAGGGCAGCTCTTTCCTCTTGCTTCTAGTTCACATGCTAAGCTAAGCTAAGCACCTGCTCGGGCTCCATATTAACTCTACACAGAGAGTGATATCAGACCTGTCACATAACTCAGAAATGGCAAAACATTACGTGAAATGTGAACCGACGCAGGAGTAAAACCTGCATTTAAAATTCGTAGGTGTGTTGAAAATGTCCCCCAGTTGCAGCACACAAACCATTTGTGACCTCTGAAAAAACTTTCATTTCTGGCATGTCACCATACGCGTCTATACTAATATCTGTGATAAGTGAATATGGGCAGATAATATGTGCCTGCCAGTGTGTGACTCACGCTCAGGTTTGAGGAAGAATATGAGAGAAAATCAGACAAGCACTTAAGTTGTTTTTCCTTGTCAGATTGGGGTTTTTTTTCTGCTTTAAAAAAAAAAAATCTCAATTCTTTAAATAAGACGGCTTTCTGTCAGTGTCAATAAAAGCGATACTTACTTTTTTGCCGCATACTGAGGTATGTTTTGATATGTGGCATAAATAATTCAAGAAACAAATCCCAGCCTGCATCCAGTCAACGGCTACGTCCTGATAACGTCATTCATTCGCCGGCCAAGCCAGACCCGCATGTTATCTGTGTCCTGCTATGAGCGTGTTGTCTGTCTGAAAGTCTATTTGAAGGTAAATAAATGTACAAATTCCTGTGCAGGTAGCTGCGACAGACAGATTAAAGTGCAAAGAACAACACGCCTCGCTGTGCTCTTACATCTGCCGAGTGTTTTCGATACAGCTGATAAATTGGGTGTGACGGCGGGATGAGAGAGACGGGTATTGTTAATCGCAATTATGCATGAAGATTCATGCGATGATACGCTGGCTCTCTTCTCCACCTCCACATCCTTGCAACACACATGCAAACATGTCTACTGAAATCTACGAGCAATGAATAGAGGCCTACGAGTGTTTCTTCTTGAGAGAACAGCGTCTAACCTGCTGGGCTGCTTGTACTGTGCGTTCGATGGCGACCTGCATTCTTTCCGAGGCCTCAGACAGGTTGAAATGACTGGTGTTCATGGACTGTGCCATTTCTGTCATCAGAGTCACCACGGGCGTCTGAAGGCTTAGAATCATCACTGAAAAGAAAAAAGACAAAGGGTTTGACCAACATGAATGGATTCACACACCAAAAAAAGACTTATATAAGTTGTTGTTTGTTTTCAGGAGACACTTTGGAGTGTTTTCAGGTGAGCTCCCAAAGACCAACTGGTACTTTATTGACATGTGCAGTGCATGTCAGATATGTGTTGCATTTGTCACGAGTCTGATCTTTTTGTGCTTCATTGAACAGTCTCATCCTGAATACACAAATGCACAGCAACCCTTTTTCTCACCGTTCTCTGCACGCATGTTCTTCACCAAGCTTTCTATGACTTTTTCCAGCACTGGGGTAACAGATGGGTCCAACGGTTGTGCTCCTTCGAGGGCTGACAATAGAGCTTTCAGCATCTGTTCGAATCTGGGACAAACATTTGGTTTGGGGCGATCACAAAAGTAAACAGGAGTCTTGTGGAATAAATTTCAAAAATAGTATGATCTCACACAGTTATACACGGATGTTATCTGAGAGCACCAAGCAATTACTTGTTTGATTTGTTTCCATTACCCCTGGTAATTAGACTTACTTGTCCCACGTGTCTTGGTCTGCCTTTCCAGTCATCACCTGCTGTATTACTGGAACAAGTTGAGTAAAACCCTTCAGAGATGGAGCGGTTGCAGGTGTGCCTCCCATGACAAGCTGCCAAACCTTGCTGAAGAGGTTCCACATCTGACAATAAAAAAAAAAAAAAGGTTTTCATTTTTCATTTTATGGGATTGGTTGGTTGCAAAGTCTTAACAACACCATTTGTAAACACATGGCCAAAAGAAATCCTAGAAACAGTTTTAACTTTACACTGAATGCAATATGTGCATCTAATAGTTCTTAAGCTTTACCTGGCCAATCATTTTTGGCAAATTTTCTACTGTTGCATTCTCAAAACTTGCCCAGAGACTCATGTTGCCTGAAATCACAAGAAACACAGTTCACAGAGCAGACCACAGCTTTAATTTCCAACATAACAAACATAATCCTCCATTGAAACTGCGAACAAAGCAGCTTGTTCTTACAACAGCTTGAATAATGACATGCATAATGCGCCCTCCACTCCATCAGATCTTGTCAGGATTCAACACGCTGTCCACCTACAGTGATACCAAGAAGCTGACTTGCCTTGGCCAGACTCCAAGATGAGATGAGTGATGTTAATGAGGACAGAGACGTAGGCCTGAGCTGTGGAGTTTGGCGGCAGGAGGCTCTGGACTGTCTTCATCTCATTCAAAATTCTAAAAGAAACAAAGCAAATCAATATTTCACATCTGAACGTGTCTCATCAAAAGGTCATCATGTTTTATCAAGATTGCAGAGGATGCAAATGCCCGCACTTCATTCCTCCGTTTGGTTTCAATTATGCATCGAGATGTAACAATGCCAAGGACCACAGCGTGACTTCTTTGGAATAAATCCTATTTAAAATGCCTGTTTTATTTTCTATGCATATGGATAATAAAACCTGCAATAAACAGATGTCTTTAGCCACTTTGGAGCAGTGGAAACAGCCTGTGAATAACAATCATATACAATCTCCTGTTAATGCAGAAACAGTTACAGCGTACAGAAAACAAAGCAAATGCAACGGGTAGGGAATTGTCTATTTTCTTTAGAATTAAAATACACTAAAATTAGCAACAACTAAAGCTCAAAATCACACCGATAAAAACAATAGGAGTAAAGAAAACCTGTAAAGATGTGGGTTGGAAAACCTGAGACTATGAGCTAAAAGATGTTGAAATGCTCCGTGGGTGATCAGGGAACTGCAGGTGTAGGTGATAATCTCTATAGCAGAAGTTAAGACAAGTGCGATTATAGCTACTGTAAGTTTAAATTAAATTTCTTGTTTGTTTCTATGATGGTATTAGCATAAGCTAACAAAGGGACTGCATTAAATGCATGTATGCATTTATTTAAGATTCACTCTAAAGCACCATTTCAGCAACTTAATCATCTTGTGCTCTGTTTAACATCCACGTCATACTGCATTAAAATTTAGAAAGTGTCTGGTAAAGTAATTTAAAGTGACAAAAACATACTTTAAGAGTTTCTGTAATCATCAAAATTATTAATGAGTGCCAATTAAAAGTCCTTGTCAAGTGCAAAATACTGTGCCAGTGTTGTCTAATAGAGTATTCGCAAAGATAGCAGCATTACTCACATTTGGTTCCAGCTGTCTGACCCACTGACTTCAGAGATGCTCTCAAAGTATGTGGTTACAACCATGACTCCGGAAAGCAGGTAGTCCGCAAACGTTTCTGGCACCATTTGTTGGATGACCGTCTCCATTCGCTTCAGCAGGAGGAGGGAGATGTTACGTGATGAGGCAAAACTCATGTTTTGATGGACAATGAGAGTCAGAGAGTCTTGCACAATTCCCAGGATATTCTGCTGCACCGGTTGCGGCAGGGGAGCCGTGGCATTGGTTAGGAGCTGCATAGCTTTTTTGACCGCTCCCAACATGGCAGCTTGGAAGTCCTCACTCTGAAGGCCGCCTGGTTGTTCTGCAACCATCAGGGCTTTGCTCAGGGCCTGGGTGATATTGCCAATTTTGGAGAGGTAGGCCACTTCGTCTTCACTGAGACAATTAGCCATCGTATTAAGCAAGCCCTGGACGTCTGTCAAAAGGGTAGACGGCATCATGGAGGAGTTTCCCCATTGGAGCGTATTATTAAGGACCAATGAGACATTGGGCTGTTTCATCCACGTCTGTATGCAGTCAAGATAGACGTTCATTTGGTACTCAACGGCATTCAGAACAGTTGTGTTGAACACTTCAAAACCTTGAAGCTCATTCTGAGTCACTAGGTTTAGCTTTGTTATGTCCCAATAACGCCGGAAAATCTCAATTGTTGTCTGGCCAATTTTGCTCAGTCCTGCACCATCTATTGGGTACTTGAGGGTTTTCAACAGGAACTCAATCTTGTCAGTGACAAACGCAGAGAAGTTTGTTTGTGCCAGCTGTAAGGTCAGTTCGATTTGTGCCATGTGGAAGAAGGGCTGAAGGAAATGTGACACTGAACTGTTGCTGGTGACATTTTCCAGTCTTTTCAAGTACCATCCCACAAGCTTTAGATACACTTTCTCGGCATACATAGGGTCCATCATCAAGGTGGAGTTGAGATTCTGATATGGGTCCATGTTGCAAATCAGTTGTATCAGACGCTCCACTACTGCGATTTCTTTCATGATCTCTGGAGTGTCCAGGTGGTTCAGCTGGAGGCTCATCTTGATATTGTCCAGCGTGCTGTTCAAGGCGTTTGCGAGAACTTTGTTAGGACTGGAGCTGAAGTTGCCTTGAATGATGTCACTGACGGTTTCATTGACCATTAACGGGATGAGAGACAGGGTAGCGGTGTGATTGCGGAGAGCAGGCAGCTGTGCAAGAAAACCGCTGACCCCCTTTATCAATCCCTGAACACACTGAGATGTCTTCATCGTGTCATTTTGAGGTTCAAAACACTGGCGAACGTTGACAATCTCCATCATATTTACCATCAGGTCATTTATGTTGGAAGCCCCACCGAGCGCAGAGATGTCTTTCAGATCCTGAACAGTTAGGTTTGACTGTCTCAGGGCGTTCTGGATGTCGGATACCGTGACATTTGGTGTAGCCATGACCAGTCTGATGAAATGGAGGGTCTGCTTGAATGTTTCCACATAGGCGGCTTCATTTGGTGGGAGGAGGAGTGAGAAGACCAAGGATGCAATTTGTTCACGCTCAAGTACCTCCCGAACAGAATTGGTTAAAGCTATTTTGATGGTGACATTGCCATTTGCTGAGAGCATTGTGTCTAAAATCTGATCCAGGAACTTGAAGATTTCTGAGATTCCAGCCGAACAGTTCTGGCCACATTTGGTCATGTTATGCTGCAGTGCTTTGAAATCTTGGAGAAATTTCGTAGCGTTCTGTTGGAGTTGGGGTGGTAGGAATGCCACTAACTTCTGGATAACGGTGTCCAGGGCAGCATCCGGTCCAGCCTGAGTGAGGTTCTGGAGGCCCTCAGGAGTGAAGAGCCTCATAAAGTCCATGGAAAGCAGATGAAGGTCAGTGACTGCAGCTGAGCTGAGGTTCCCACTTTGCAGATATTCAATTTTTCGCCTATAGAGAGACATCACGAATTTTTGAAACTGCCGTATGTACCCAAGGATGATGTCAGTCGGGTCACCGTTTGGAGCATCCATCATCTTCTTAAGTGTCTCCACGGCACTGAGGATGGCTTCTACAACGCCGGGGGAGGTCTGGTTGGTAAAAGGCTTAATGGCTTCTCTGAGACGGTCAACATCATCAGGGTGGAAGTAGTCAGAATAGGTAAGCAGAGTGTGTCCCATGATGTAGGAAACAGGTATTGTGAGGTTCCCCTCTAAGGAGAGGAACTGCATTATTAACCGTTCCAGTTCAGGCATTGTTGGATCCGTCTCATTGAAGGTAAACATGTGCTGGTTGAGCCTGCCAAGCTTTGAGGCTACGTCAAGCAACATGGAGACATTAACGGGACCGTCGCTGAAGAACAGAGGCAGGAGTGGTTTCAGACGTGTGGACTGTAACAGGCTACCGACGAGTGGAACAACATCTTCAGTGTTGTTTTGGTTTGGAAGTTTGGAGATGTTCTGGACAAAGCCATCCAGTTGATTCATCAGGTTAATCAGATAGACAGAGAGGGCATCTCCACCTTTGATTTCCTTTTTCAGATATGAGGCAGCCAGATGTTTATAGGTGTCACCATACAGATACTGCATCAGAGTCACAGCTCCTTTGAGATAGCTTCAGAGAAAAGAGAAGATTGTCAGTTTAACAAACTTCCGTTCACTGTGTATAAACTGCCTAACAGTTAGCACAGAGACTGAAAACAGGACTGAAAAGCTTGCCTGTTCAAAGTTGATTAGCACCCCTGAAACTCACCAATTAGAACGCTGCATCCTTTTGTTTAATTTATACAAATGTAAGAGGCAAAATAACAGTATATGTTTGAAATGGGGGGTACATCATGGAAACTTTTTCTGTTTTAACGGGCTCAGGGACTTCCTTGAGTCTTGTTGTTGCCTTGAGTTTGGCAGGCAACCAAGAAACAGTCCTACACAAAGCAGAAAAATACCTAACCAGCTGGTGCTAACTGGAGTTCACAGGTATGCTATAGAGGAATCTTTTTCAGTTCCACAAAGAGTCTTTGGCAAGAGGTTTGAAAAATGGTTCCTTAAAGAACCCCAAAGATGCCTCAAAGAACCATCAAAAATTGGGAAACATAAATGGCACTCAAGGAAAATTAGTAAATTTGGGTTTTTTAAAGGAACCTTTTTTAAGCAATAAAGTAAAACGCAAGAATTTGCAGCATCTCTGGGTCCTCCAGGGTAATAATATTTTAGGTGGTTGAAACAGAGCGACACATTACAAGATGCCAGCTTGGGATTGGGTCGACTACGACGGGCATTTCTTACTTTTTTCTGATATTTTATGAAGCAAATGATTAATTGGAATGGTTGAGAAAATATTCACGAGAATAACTGATAATGAAAAATAATGATTAGCACATCTGCAAATTTATGCCGTTATGTGTCACCAACCCAAATAACTTGAATAAAAATGAAGAACCTTTCATACTTTGAAGACCCACATAAAGTACATGAAGAACCAGCCACTTATAAAAGAGGTTCTTCAGCTGTGACGCACTTTGACCGAACAAGAGAACCATCAGAAGAATCATTTGAGAACTACTGTTTTTCTGGGAGTGGTGGACAGATTCTTTATTTTTTATTTTTTTATTTTCCCTTTGCAAAAAGGCAAGCAGAGCAGTTATTCTGTTTCCAGTCTCTGTGCGAAGCTAAGCTGACTGCTGACACAAAAGCAAATAGACTGATTATCCTTTTACATAACCTTTTCAAAGCGTCAATCCACAAATAACTAATGAAAGTCAATAACAGAGATGAAAAATTAATTCCCAAGCAGACCGAGTGCATGAATCATTCCAGCACTCAAATAGGACAATCAACCTTTGTCACTTACTTCACCAGGACGTCTTCTCTCGGTGACATCAGAGCCTGAGTCACCGCTTGGACAAACTGTGGCCACTTCAAACCAGTGTCACAAAGAATAGCCATGGTGGACGTGTCGATAGAACCTAAAGGACGAGGTAGAAACATCTCGTAATTACCACGAATCAGAGAAGAGAAGAGAAGAGAAGAGAAGAGAAGAGAAGAGAAGAGAAGAGAAGAGAAGAGAAGAGAAGAGAAGAAGAAGGAGAAGAGAAGAGAAGAGAAGAGAAGAGAAGAGAAGAGAAGNGACATCAGAGCCTGAGTCACCGCTTGGACAAACTGTGGCCACTTCAAACCAGTGTCACAAAGAATAGCCATGGTGGACGTGTCGATAGAACCTAATGGATGAGGTAGAAACATCTCGTGAGAAGAGAAGAGAAGAGAAGAGAAGAGAAGAGAAGAGAAGAGAAGAGAAGAGAAGAGAAGAGAAGAGAAGAAGAAGAAGAAGAGAACCTGGACTCACAGTTTGCTGGCTGAGTTGTCACACCAGGCCTGTAGTTCAATATCCAGTAAACCATGTGGAAATAGTTCTTCACTCGAGGCCACATCTGAGTCTTCTCAATCTTTTCCCCCAAATCCACCATGACCCGGAAAACACTACAAGCACAGCAAAAGCACAACACTGTTGAAGCAGTGAAAACATAACACGCAGCAGAAAATCAGACATTGTGAACGTTTATCTAAAACACATCCTGGTGGAAAATTGATCCTCCTGCTCAATTTTTTTGTTTTTTACTTGTTATTTTTCTCCACTAAATGCACTCAAATGGGCAATTTGCATACACATGTCAAACATAAATCTGGTTTTATCACATTAAAAAAAAAGGTTCCTAGTGTGATGCAGTTCCCAAATATTTATTGAGTTAGCAATACTTCAGTTGATATGACAGATGGGATCAATCATTGATTGGATAAAAAGCTGGCGTGCAAAGCGCTTTGGAATGAAACTATGCAATTACACAATCAACACTTTGTCAAAACCTTTGTTGCAGAGTTTCAGCAACATCATGGGTATTGTTGTCAGGCATCCAGTTCATCCAGTACGTTCCACCCAGCCCAGTGCTAAGTCTTTGCCAGATCCCTCCGAACTGCAGGCTGTTATTTCTCAACTTGCGCCACTCGGACAGAATCATGGGAAGCGTTGCGTTGTAGTCCCCCTCGGATGTGAAGGCGCTGTACACTTTTCTTACCTGGGGGTTATAATATAAAAGACAGGGTGAGACAATTAACCCATGAGTAGTTGAATCACAGAGCTAACACTGGTAACGGCGATACAGAAGTGCCATCAGTCGCGCTAAACTGCAATCCTTCCTCTGAATATCAAGTTTTGTATAATCTGGAACATCAGGAACTTCACTTGGATGTCTCCTGTGTGTGTCCACCACAGGATCCACTTTACTCCTAGCGGCTGTAGTTCTTATTCTTGGGCATGTAAAAGTCCTGCACCCCAGCTTTGACAGTACACCCGCTATAGATGTATCAAGTGTTTCCTTGTGAAGAATCTCCTTTACCAATTAAATCAAGCTGTGTACACTCCAAGGGAACAGCAATCCAACACCGACATGAAGATTTATTATGTACGTATCACTATGGGGGAAAAAAAAAAGAATTTTTCAAATGCAGCAAGTTTTTACCTTTTGAACCAAAGGCATCCAGTCCATCAGTACGTCTTGCTCTAGAGAGGAGTTGACTTTAGGGCAAAGCATTGATCTGAACACCTCGATCTTTACGCTCTTGGTGGATAGGAGCCACTCGAAGGGATCCAGAACTTCTTCACATGTCAAAGCTTCTGGTCCCTGATGAAACAGATGAAAAAAAAAATCACACGTGCATGCTACTTCTATTATCAGTGGTGATCATCAAAAACCAGTTCAACCAGTCTTCAAGTCCTTTAGATTCAGCTAAATTTAGTTTTTCCAACCTGCGTCTGACTAAATGTCACTGCTAAGAATTGCGACTGCAGCCTTTTTACCAATCAAACCACCAAGCAGATTCCCAACAAAGTCCAACTTACTAGAGGCACTTATTTGCAAGGAAGTAAAAGTAAATGCTCCATCATCGTATGTTATGTTTACTGATCAAACTGTCAGCCTTGTAGTCACACCTGTTGCCGGTGTGCTTGCCAAAAGATCTCAGCAACAACAAACGTGACTAAGCACTTGTGAAAACAGCTAAAGAATCTGAGTGATGTGACAAAAGTAGGATTAAGGTTGGAAAAATGACATTCGTATCCTTTAAGATATTCATTCAACCTTTGTTTAAACTCTGATTACGCTGATGGATGGAGGCTTCATCCACCACGTAGCCGCGTGAGGAAATTGAAGACTTAAGATACCAATAAAGAGTAAAATAGAAAGTTTTGCAAACAAAGAAATCAACTAAATCAAGAAACGTTAGAAGTAAAATAAGATAAAACTTTAAAAAGTGCCCTGAGGATAAAAACGAGCCAAGCTCTAGATAGCTTTGTAGGTGATTCCAGGTTGCACAGTGGGTTAAAGTAGAGTTTACGAGCTCAGTAAAAACACATGATGAGGATTCTAACTATCACCAGTAATAAACTTTAACTGCAGAATGTCAAACAGGATCTGAGGGGTTAAGTTTTACTGCTGATGAATAGATGCTCAAAACGTCACGGTAATACAGTGCAGATGAAAAATAATCTACCCTTATTGTCAGCTGAATACGCCGAGCATACCTTCATAATCACTTCCATCGCGCTGTCCATGACACGTGTGGCCCAAGCGCTCGCCTCAGACTGGTTCGACAACAACCTGCGAAAAGCCGCCTGGAGTTGATTGGCATCTGCTAGGACGTTGCTCACCATGTCTGCAAAACCAATGTGTAGATATACAACAGAAAGGTCAGTCGACTGCATGTTCAGTGAGACAAACTGAATTTCGGGTTACGCTAGTAAATGAAAGTGTGTTTTATTTATTTTAAAGTGGTACGGCAAACTGAAATGGGTCTTTTTGAGCCGTAAATGTCAATGCTGGTGTTAATATTGAGATTTTTATTTTATCAAATGTGTAAAAAACTGAATTTCATGGGTTGAAAATGGCTCAACACTCCATTTTTTAGATGATGTTTTAAAATCATTCCAAACCTTGCGAGGCCAAATCAACCATGTGGGACTGAGTTACACTGTGAAATATTAAATATATATGTTTTTTTTTAAAGAATAAATCTGTCTAATCAGAGGTAGGGTGGCTGTGAGTTTGTGAAACCATCATTTTCAAAGATATCTGATCAAGACTCATCATTGACGTGAGTTTATGCGATTTCGTTTTGCTAACTCTCGACTTAGTGTGTTCCAGTTTTGGGAGTCGTGGTTCTGACAGCTGCACTGCTCCCCTCCAGACCCCTTTATCCTCCCTCTAGCTAACATTACAGTTTCTACCCTCCATCCTCCCTTGCCCTTGCGTTGCCCCGGCTCTGGGAGCTCTGGCTTCGAGCGTTACTGAGGCCGGAGCCAATGGCTTGAAACCAAAGTGGCTCAGGACCACCGTGTTCCTCCACCACACTAATGTCCACTTCGGGGGATTCTGGAGGGGAAAAGTCTTCCTCCTCAGAAGAGCCTCATGTGGCTCAGCTGCCTTGCAATTCTAAAATCTTTTTCTTTCACTGAGCAACCCCCTACCTTCCTCACCACCCCACCCCCCTCAGTTGCCTACTTTATAGTATTTACCCTAATTATACAGAGGGTGGAGTTGGGCTCAGAGCTCAGGGTGAAGGTATATTTTGAAAGAAATTCACCTTTCTTTGTTCGGTCAAACACATGACTCATATTTCTCCACAATACAACGCTGAGTTCTGTTTTCTTTCACCTTTTGTTTGTGTGTGCAGCTTTCCAGTATGGCAACTCCTCTAGTCCTACTTTGATTCAGCATTTTCTGTCTTTCAGGAGTCCCCTGAGAAAGGGTGTGAACTCGTGCAATTTACCATTACAGAGCAGGTTTACGGCATTTGCTTTCCTATCAATTGTTCTTTTCCTTTTTTTTTTCTGAATCAGTTTTACCTTGACAGAAAAATACGTTTCTGACTTTCTGAACAGGATGTGTTGCAGTCTTACCTTCCACAGTGTCAAAGGCCACTGTACCCGACTCCATGGACTGAAGGCCACCTCTGAGGATTCTCTGGACGACCATATCCGCCTGAGGCACGATGGTTATCAAGTCCATCACCACCTGGCCAACGCCTAAGAACCTACAAAACCATAAGGTCACACTAAAGATGAACCAGTTGCGTCACAGTCGACACAAGCCTACAGGGAGACGTTACTGGGTTGTGTACAGTTCGGGAAATAAAAATGTCCTCTTGCGTGCAAGGGTGAGAAAGACAACCATACTAAATAAAAATATACACCCACCCCCTAATAAAAACTTTACATTCTCTATAAATTGGTATGACATTAGGAAGGTCCATTCATTTGATCTTTTAGCGTTTGCGGCAGTAATGAATTTGGGATATTTGCTTTGCAGCATTAGTAGTAAGTAGAGAAGACATGTTCCAGCGCTTACAGCTCTTCCTCGATGTTTTGTGGTTGTTCATCCGTGCTGCGCCGGCTCCTCGTGACGTTTGAGCCTCCGGAAGGCGAGCCTCCCATCACACTGTGCAACAAGCCCTTGACAAACGCCACATCATGAGGAGCGACATGCCTGCTCCACGCCAGCAGAGCCTTGGAATAGAGGGAAAAAGAAAGCAGAAGAGATGCCAAGAGTTGTAAAAATGAGAATGATTTAAACTTGAGCTACTCTGCTTCCGTCACTTTTTGTCAATCTCTCCACTTTGTACTCTTCTCAGAAAAAAAAAAAAAAAAAGAATGCTGCACTCACACAACGTTGACAGAATGGAAAAGAGCTGGAAAAAAAAAACGCCCTTAACTCCAGTTTGGGAGAGTTCATGCATTATTCCAACATGATTAGCGTTCGCGCTGACCTTGTAGTTACACCAGGGGAGCAGCCTGAATTAACTTTTCTTTGTTGCGTTACAAATTTGAAAATTTCAAAGTGAAACCAGATACAAACACCGGCTCGCAAAAAATCAGCTGAATTGACCGTTAAAATGACATCGATATTCGATTGTGTTTTGATGTGACTGTCAGGCATTGTGCTTGTCTCTTGAGATACTGCAAGGGTCAAAAAAACACCTTTGACAACATTTACAAGCAAAAAACTAATGTGAATGGGTTTTTTCCAACTCTGCAAGAATATAATGATAAACTCACTCAATATAATAAACTCAGAAATAAGCTACTTGGCAAAAAGCACATTTGTGGGAATCTACTTTGTTATAAATCAGCTGTATATAATTAATAAATGACACATTGTGAAATTGGAACTCTTCATTTATCTACTGATATTTGGTTTAACATTCCCTGAACAGTAAAATGCACTAGATATGTTTTGGTTCCATTTCTTGAAATGCAAAAACTGTGATTTCTATCAAAAGTCTTTTGTTAATGTACATGAAAAGTTGCTATTTTTGCAATATTGCATATTTTGAATTAAATAATATTAAATGCTATGTACATTAAACGCTAAAACTTTAGCATGCAAACTTTAGCAGTTGTTCATAACTTGACCATTTGGAGATTTTCAGGTACATAAACAGACAGCTGAGAGCAAATAAACAGGTTGCACTGCACCATATGTCATTAGTACATGTGCACCATGGTAATGTATCCACAGGTGACATGTCTGTAAAATGACATAATGAACATAATTTCTATATGCGGCTAATTGATGTCCAGTTGGCTGTTTGACTGAGTACACACGGTGATAACACTGTTAGCTAATAGCTTGTGATTGGGAATTATCTCATCAAAACAGGCATACCGCCATGGCGCTGCTAATTGGACATCCTTGAGGTATCTGTTTCCCAGGTGCAGCCTGGGAATTGCAGTAGCTTGTTGCTATGGCCAACAGCTTTCGTGCAGCCACCGACTAATTATTTGCTATACTTCACATCTAATTACTTGTGAAGGTGGCACTTGGAACGGCAAATTAGGAGCAAAGGCAGAAGAACACAGACGAGCAGCATGAGACAGCGAAAAAGAAAGAAATGTTCCCACACACATGGAGCAGCAGACTCATTTCTGACGTCTGCGACTCTCTCTGCTGATGTTGATAAGATTCTTTGAGATGCTATCCTACCTGCTTTGCAACCTTGTCGGGGCAGATCCAATTCAAAAACATATTCACGGTGCCTGAACTGCACGCGGCTGTCAGCCACATGGAGCCACTGGTGTTGCTGCACAAGTACGAACGCACCATGTCTTTGTCCATCGTCAGGCCAACAGCCTAAAACAGAGACGCCAGTTACAGCATTCATCACAGAAATGTGGTCAAAAGTAAAAGACTGTATGAGGAATAATCAGTTTGGGAAATGCACCTTTAATATATGTAGCTGTACAGATAAAGGCCAGGAAGTGGTTAGCTTAGCTCGGCATTGAAAGTGGAAAAACAGGAAAACATCTAGCCTCACTCAGGAGTTAGGATTTACAGGAGTTTTACATGACAGACAATTTCTAGTCCAGGACCAGAAACATCTCAGGAATCTCTGCTGGCTGCCAGCCAAGAAATATTCTGGCACCCAGTCCTCTAAAAAGTTCTTCTAATTCCTGATTGCTTGTTCTGGTTAGACAACCAGGATTAAAAAAATGAGTAAAATTGGATGTCCTGTAAAAAAAAAAAGTGTTTTGTTTCTTCAAACAGAGGCAGACCTGCTGCTTCCTTCACCAGTAAGGTTCACGGTCTGATTCCTGTCGCTCCTGCACGTATAGTATTTCACATACTGTTATGAAAACAATGTCTTGTCAAGTTCATATTTTCTTTTCCTGTTGTGAATCTGGTTTCTTCACTCAGTCTGACAGTGAAATATAGCATAGGATGTTTCCTAATCCTTCAAAGTGACAAGACCAGTTTGGCGACCCTGAAGGCAGCGCTGGTGATGTTTGACTTTAATATTACACGTCTTTTTTTTTTAGTGTAGTGAGAGTGTAAAATGACACTGCTTTGCATTCACATAGTAAAAAAATACATATTCTGTGGCATGTGTATGTCTTGAACACACAGTCAGACGTACCTTGTCCAGCGGTATCTGAACATCTTTCAGAGCAGCTTTCACGATTTCACTGAGGGAGTCGTTCTTCAATATGTCTCCGAGGGAAATGTAAACACCTGAGCGGGAATTAATCACACGGCAAGACGTGAGCACCGAAACTTGACGGGCAACATGTTCTTCTGCTTGATTTGTGGTTTTTCCAAATTGCCAAACCAGGTGCCTTGCTGTATTTCTGCATTTAAGAAATCAGTAAATGTATATTACAGTGTGAGCAGTGAAGCTGATGACCCATAGTTACCTTTCCCGGGCCACTTCTGAGCATATTCGCTCAGGCTGATTACTGCGGTCAGCATCGGCTTCACCGCAGTGAAAGAGTCGCCGGTTTCAGGAAAATTGCTCTGGATGACACGCATGGCACTAAAGAGACCAGAAGGAAAACATTTAATGGAAAGAACTCAAAGCAAACCGCCAACAGAGCTGGTGACTAAACAAACACTCGCTTTGCTCTGCTGGTAATCTAAACCCTTAAATCCCAGAGCTACACGAAGCCAGCACCAAAACAGGATCTCCAAACTGGAGTGACTACAGGTTATTTTACTCCTGCATGCAGCTTCCCATCATTCACTTTGTGCTGTCACTGAGAGCGCATTACCCTTGCAGTTCTGTGAGCAGGGCTTCTGTGACGTCCAGCTTTTCGTCAAGAGGACCAGCATTGAAGAGGTCGGGAATGCTCAGGAGGCGCTCCCACAGCGAGGTCTTGTTCTGCAGCTGGTTGACCATCAACATCAAGTTCCCAGCCAGCTTCATCATCTCATCCGTGTCCGTCATCATCAGCTCCATCAGTTTCTGTTGATAGGGGAGAATATCTGTGTCACCAGAAAACTCTCACGACAGATGACACTCTTACAAACTGTAGATTTACAATAAACGCTTCACGTTAAACAGACGTAAGAGTTAGTATCAATAAAATACATCAAGACAAACATGCCTGGTCCAAAAGTCCGAGCAAGACTTCGAACACGGTGTTGTTGCTCTTGCAGAAGGAGACCACGGCGGACTTGAGGGCACCGGGCGAGGTCATGTTTGTCAGGCGCAGAGTCATGGTGCAGACGGCCCGCTTCAACAGGTTGTCTGATGCCAGCATTTCCTGCAAGGACTCCTGCAAGGAACAGGATTTACGAGTATATGAATTCCAGTTATTAAGGCTAGGCATCCGCTAGGAATTAACAATATTATTAGACTTTCTGAAAACAAATGGAAATCACATTGATTCCGATATTAACCCTGACAACCTTAAACCCTGAACTTTTTAAAAATAAATCCTGAAACTTTGTCAATCACCAGCAAAGTCAAAATGAACAAACTCAGGCTGTAACCAGACGCTTGGGAGAGTTTTAAAATACAGTAGGTTTCCTTGTTCTTGTGGAAATGTGGAAAAACCCAAAAAAGAACCTTTTTTACTTCAAACCAAAACTGGAAACCAAAGAGTAACAGAATAGAATAAAAGGAAGCTACATCCACTTAAGGCACCAGTTTATACCCTGGAGGTGTAAATAAACCATCATCTGAATCACTACAACATACGCTCTAATCTCCCCTAAAACTAGTGATTATTCACACAGGACTTCTTGTCCACACACTACAGCACAATCATGTGATATAACTTCTTAAATCAGCATCTGATCCTGAGTTTTACTGATTAAACAGATCAAGTAAAGCTGTGCTTAACAACATAAATGTGTTTTCTTGTTTTGTTGTATGCTGGAGGTTTAACTATGAGTTAGATACAAGTGATTACTTTGCTTCACTTGTACTTGGACAGAAAGTTTAAGGCTAAAATCTGTGATTGGATCATTTCATGCCTTGTCATGTCAGAGCTCTCTGGGTTTGTGGTGTCATTTAACAGTTCTTTGACTGTTGGCATGAATATTTCACTGCATGGAACTAAAATGAATGAAAATTACCCTCCTTGTTTGGCACATTTTTGTTCCTTCCATTACATCTCAACAACACCCACCTTGTCTCCCCAGCCAGTGGCATTGATGACCCTCATGAGAGTGACGTTATTGGATCTTCTTTGGTGAAACGAACCTTTAGCACAAGAGAAGACTGTTGAAGATTGGCAGACTTGGCAGGACAAAGTCTGAATTTGTTGAATCAAACGGTCCAAAAAAAAATCCTTTAAGCATGGTTCTTTAAAACAGTACTTCCACATGTTCAGGAGTCTTTGCTTTCTTGCAAACAGCTGGATGACCAGACTACCAGCTCTCTCTAAAGATGAAGCTACCAGGAGATGGTTAGCTTAACTTAACATACAGATTATTATAAAATTCTAAAAATGGCAATAAAGAAGACAATAAAATCCATCAACCAGCGCCTAGATTTAAGTCACCAACACATCACAACTTGTTGGTTTAATCTGTAACAGAAGTGGACTGCTTTGTGTTCAGAAGAAATCAGGTTAGTTGTTTCCAGCCTCTGAGGTATTTGTCTTCGACTGCAGCCTCATATTGAACAGGTACATATCGATCTTTTCATCCAACTGTCAGCAAGGAGACGAACTAAGGTGAGTCCCAGAATGTCAATTCTCCTTAAAAGAAGCTCAGCGGTGTGTTTCATTGTGTTTAATCGACTCGAGAATCGAACATTCTGCACAAATGTATAACAATCGATTGGTCACCACTGAATTCTCAGCAATGCGTGTGCTGTCTATTGCTTAATTGAAAACATACCCCACACGTTTTTCCACTTCTCCATCAGCGCTACGGAGTCATTGGAGAACGTAAAGTTGAACAAATCTCCCCCTCCACGCAGGTTTACCAGCGGAGAACCGTTCCGCAAGAAGGCAGACCTGAGGATCGGAGGAGATTATACGGACTTTTAAATTTCAGCCGTCTTTCTGATTCATATTCTTTGTTTAACAGACCTGTGGAAGAGTAGAAGTTGTTGTTTGCTGATAAAACATTCATCATCGTAGCTTTCTTGGTAAAAATCAGAAGATTCCCAACATTTACAACAGTGCTTAGATTTAGATTTCATGACAGAAAACTGATGCAAAATGGAAAAATACAAATAAAACAAATCTTAGTGGAAATCTGCTGATGTCAGACTATTTTTTAAAAAGAGGCTTGTCTAAAAGGAGCTAAAGCCTCAAAGATTGACAAACAGGTTTTTCCACCAGCCACCCTTATTCCTGTGTATGGAATTCAAATTCCAGAGAACAGAACAGCAGCTTAACAAAACTATGCGATTTCCACTTTTTTTTTTTTACACAAACTTGAACTCAAACAATGCCGACAGGTGCCTGATTGCGTAACTTCACCGTGACAGTTTTGTTTCTAGGAAAACGCATCAGTCAACTTCTCCCTTTAGAACGAACTGCTAGAACACTTCCCGTCCTCCACAGGGGGAAGTCTGTTGTTGGTACATTTCCATGATCACACTGACTAATCATCTCATGTGGTGCTGCCGTGCTGAGGCGTGACCCTCCTTTGTGGCTTAAGCATCTTCCGCACACCTTTTTTTTCTTCTTTTTTTTCTCTCAGCCACATGACACCAACCATTAGGGACATAACGTGAAGATGTGAGACCCTAGTGAGGATTAAGTGGTGTATAGATAATGGATGGATGCACTTGATGAGTGGGGTACCTTCTGTTGATCGCTGACTTTGTTGTCGTTGGGTCTGGCAGGAGCGACTTATTGTGGCAGTTGCTGTCTGTGTTGCACATGAGGGTCTGCAGGAAGGGGAAGACGCCGGTGCTGGGCAGGTTCCGAGGTCCCACGTAGCCTAAAGGAGACGTTGATCATTCTCTCAAAATGCTTAATTCAGCAAAACATTCCAAAGGAGCCGCACTTTAAGTAAGTTAGCCGGATCGCAAAGGCCAAATATATTTCATTCAAATCGGTTTCCATCATTATCTGCCGACACTTCTACTGTCAGACATCATCTCATGCTCGAATTCAGAACAAAGGCAGAGCACAGCTTGAAGATCAAGCCACAGTCGAGCAATTACGACCCGGCGGCCTACACGGGGCAAAACATGGCCGTATATTCACCCATATGAAACAGCATTTGATTAACGACAGCCGTGACATTTGTGGAAATCATTAGGAAAACCTTCGGCGCAGAAGCAACCTTTGAAGACTTGAACACATCCGGTTTTATAGAATAAACGTATAGTTGACATACCTGGAGGGAAATAGTCAAACAGTGACTCATCAATGAGAAGAACAAAAAGGCGTGTGTTTAAAGTAGCTGTGGAACCAGTGGCGGGTTTGTTGCTCCGTAGCCACAATGAAAATGTAGGAGGCTATAGATAGGCTGTAACCTACTTCAAGATTTTACTCCAAAAACAAGAATGTAAAACAGATTTTTTAAATCTATATACATTGGTGTCTGTGTTTATATATATTCATATACTATTGCCTACCAAACACAACACTAACATGTACCCAAACAACAGGAGTCATGGAAAATGGTAGCTACCATGTATACATATCAATAATGAAGCAGAACTGGACGGGAGTTAATGCTGGAGTTCTTCTTTTCTCACAACACAGCGTGACGTAAGGTTACCGCCGGTCATTCAGTCCGATCAGATACTGAAGATGGTGCCGTTGTTTCGTTTCGGGTGTGGTCCAACCCTCTCATTGTTTAGCATTAGCTTTTATGTTGGGACGCACAGAGGGGTTATCACATTTCCAATAAATCCCAGCTTTTATAAAATCTGGTTTATCAAAAATGGCTAAACAAACAAGCGTGGCGGTTAAAGAGCGCGGGCGGTTTTCCAATTCAGGCTAGAAGTTGTTGTTTTTGCAGAGCAAAACCAGTTAAAAAATTGGGCTTGCTGGTGACTGAAAGGCTTCTGTCACGTTTCACCAAACCAACTGGTTGCACATTCTGCCGCTCCCCGTATTAATCACCATTGTTTCTGGATGGTATGAAGGACCCTTCACCCACACTGCACATAAATAACTGTGATCATTGTCAGCAAGGTTTAAAAAATAATGGAGCACAAACACCACGTCAACAGTGTTGGGATCGGCTCCGATCTGAAGGGCCACTGATGTTTGAGTTTGATTCTCCATTTGTTTGCCCGCTGAATGCCTGTTATTGTACAGTTACTGACCTTTAAGATGTTTAACAAAAACCCAGAGGTCCATTTCAGGTCATTTTTTTGTGTCAATGCAAAGCTTAGAAAACTATGTTTAGTTCCACATTTAATGACACTTTAAAAAAAACTTTTCTGATAAATTGATTCAAGTGTTTTCAGAGGAATATTTACTGTAATGCTGTTAAAACACATCGCAGACGTACAGTCGCCCTCAGATGTATTCATAGCCTCCCATAAAGGAAGGAAAAAAACCGGCTGTCATGGAAATATGTTGAAATGGACAAACGTAATAATAAATACAAATTCAATGAAAATCATGACATTGCTTTTGAATTGCGGTTCAACAGAAAAATATTTAAAAAAATAAAAAAACAAGCATGATGGGACCCGTAATCTAATATTTTGTTGATCAATCCTTTGAGCCAATCACTGTAATCATTTTCTGTAACTCTCAATCAGACTCCTGCACCTGTCGACAGGTATTTTGATTTCACTGCTCATCAGCAAAGTGCATTTTTTAATTTTTTTAAATTATTCTTTTCAACCACAGCTCAAAGCAATGTCTTATTTCACTAAATTATAATTTAGCAAATTTTTATTTATTATTACTTTTTTCAGTTTCTAATTATTTGAGTGACTTTTGTGAATTTTCTCTTTTCTTTAATAGAAGGATATGACATGACATATAATAATTAAGCCATTTCTAAAGAAGCCTTTCACGGGTTATATTTCCCCTCATAAAGACTTTATCTTCGGTAGAGCCGGGGCAGCTTATAGGCACGTTTCCAGTATCGTGCAACAAAAGTTTACTCTGTTTTCTCGCCGTGTGTGTGTGTTTGATTTGTGCGTTATGCAATATCACTGTGTACATTTGATTTAACAATAGTACACTTTGTAAAGACACACTGTTGCATCAAAGGGATGTTGAAATGCATATCACTGACCAAACACGGCCGTGGATCGACGCCCTATATTGTTGTTTTACTTTTTTACACTCACATGTGTCTCTTATCACGGGAGGGAAGCGGTTGCGGGTCACGGCGATGAGGATGAAGATGATCAGAGGCCAGATGATCAGAGTCAGGGACCACAGCTGGAACACGAGACAGAGTCCGAGTCAGTCAGAATATTCAGTTAATGATGATGTCGTTGCTAAACATTCAGCTTGTTCTGTATTCATGCCGTTTATTCTCCAGAAGCAATGAAATTAAAGTCCCTGCCGCGCTTGAACGTCACTCACCGGCTGCCTGACGACCGCCAGTCCATTCTTCCAGAGAAGGAGTCGCAGCTGCCGGAAGAAGGCCATCGCTAGAGGCGGAAATAAAGACACAAAAATGAGATTTATTACCAAAAAACTGCTTATATATTCGTAAGCACCACACACTGGAGTAGGTGGAATGTGTTTCAGGTATGTGTGGTTCTAGTGTGTAAATATTTAAATACTTAAATTGCCCTCAGGGGACAAATAATGTTGTTTGAGTTGAACTGAGCTGAATATAAAACTAAAAAAAAATCATGAATCTGCTATAGAAAAGACAGCCTAAAGGGATGAGAAATTCTGCATTTACTTGACATTTGGTCAAATCCACTGGTTGAGGAAAAAGTGATCGGAAGTTGTAGAGAAGCAGCTGCGAGGACTAATAAAGTGAAATAACTTCTCAAGACGTGGAGTCCACATGGGATGGGTGGACATGACATTTTGGGTTATATTACCATGGTAGTTTTTTTTTTTAATTAATTATTGTACTATTATTATTTGTTTATTTATTTATTTTAAAACATGGTATCAAGAACCACAGTATTCCAGTGGTATTGACGACCTAATTCCTGGTATTATTTGTTTATTTATTTATTTTATTTTTTAGATTTTTTTATTTTTTTCATATATTTTTTTTAATTAGATTCTTATTTTCTTTATATTTCTTTAAATTATTTTTTTAAAATGCCAATCAAACAAGAGGAATTTACGCAAATATATTATTTTATTATCATAAAGTGACATAAACTGTGGAGTCACAGCAGAACACAGGCTCAAACTTAATGACAGAAAAATGACTTTATTCTTCATAGAAATCCTCTAAATGTCATCTGTGAGTAGCTCCACCGGCTGTAAGGGCACAATGATGAGAAATAATAAAGCAGTGCTGACTTACCTGCTGCTGCTGCTGCTGCTGGCCTCTTATTAGCTCTGAGTTCTTCTTATCTGACTGTAGCTCGCAGGTCTGTTGGGGAGGACATGGCGCTAGGTGGCCCCTAGCAGGATGCCCTTTCCATCAGTCGGTTATGGTTAAAAAGAAGAAAAAAAATCAGAAGTAATTTACGCTCAGAAACAGAGAAAGTGAGAGAGTGAAAAAAAAATGTCCTCGTTGTGTAATAACGCGGGTTTCGCTCCAACCTTCACCTTTCTGCAGCCTGCTGACAATGAGGGCTGCTCCTCCTGCTGTCAGACAAAAAGTGAAGTCTGTGGGAAAAGGGCGTGTCCGCGTCGTGCAACCTGCCCGACCAAAGCAAAGCAGACGCGCACAGCTGACTGCAAACAGGGCCAAAAGCGCGCAGGTGCTGCCGATGAACGTGCGCAAGTCCACAGAGCCCGTGAAGCGTCTGATCATCCGCTCATTATCACACTGATGTACTGCTGTTGGAGTTTGGCTTTGATTCCAGTAATGACAGCTGATAAAGCGCTGATTGCCAAAGCTCAGGTCTCAGTTTGACTGGCCTGTATTCTCACTGTGTTAATAACTGTTATTTATTTTAACAAGTGACTTTTTTCTTTTCTTTTTTTTATTTTGTAATTTATTTCTTACAGATTTTCTGTATGGAATAGTGAGAGTGCCAAATTACAAAAATAAATCAATAAAAGAATATTAAAATAAAAAAGGAAATTAAAAAAAAGGATAACAAAAAAAATTAATAAATAATGTGGCAATAAAAAGCAATATTAATCAAAACTGAATCCATAAAAGAAAAGGCTAATAAAAGTACAAACATAAAGACAAATAAATCAAATAATAAGATAATAATAAATTTGTATTCTTACATTTTTATTTTTTATTTTTTTACTTTATTTTTTATAATTTGTTTCATTTTTATTAATTTTTTTATTGTATTTTTTAGAATGTCGCTTTAAAAGCAAAGGAAATATGTGCAGAAAAATGTGTGCAGTAGGAATGTTGTTGTGCACATATTTTCTTTGCTTTTAAAGTGACATTGTGAAAAAATAAAAATAAAATAAATAAATGAAAAAATGGAATAAAACGATAAAAACAAACTAAATGCATTCAAAAATAAAAAATAATTTTAAAAATAAATGTTAAAATATATTTTTATTTTTATTACAGAATTTATTTGTCTTTGTGTTTCTACTTTTATTAGCCTTTTCTTATGTGGATTCATTTTTGATTAATATTGCCACATACTATTATATATTATGTCTAATATAATGTTCAATGGATGGCAAAGATTTAAACAAGTTCACCTTTTGCAGTTTAACCAAAACAACATGATATGATGAATTTCTGAGTGCAGCTTTAAAATGTATTTGTAGGCTATTGCTATGTCTTATTTAGAAACATGATTAATGTTGGGGAAAATGAATCTGTTATTAAAAACCATTCCATCATATTGTTGTTTGAAACTGACAATATAGATTTAGAGGTGACACAGCAACACAAGCACCACGTTACACAATCAGTTACACAAGTTAGTAAGGTGTTGTTGGGGAGGTGGGGCTCTCCACAGGGACAAGTCACGCTGTCATGTGAGGAACCTACAGGGAGNAAACAAGTCAGAATAACTTGTCACACTTTGTTGGTTTTATAATGAATATTATTTAGCAACTTTTTTTAATTGAAAATTGAAATAATAACTGTGTTGGAGGTTATTAATGTGCTCAGGTTTGAGGATAGGTGGATAACTAAACCCAACCCTCAAACAAAAGTGTTTCCTGCAGACATATGTGCCTTGTGAGCACAACACAAAGCATTTAAAGTGTAAGATACAACTTTTTTTTTGTAATTTTCAACCTCTGAGCTGCTTCATCGGACAGCAGAGCTCATGTCTTCATATGGTTTCTTTATTTCTTGTATTTCTTTATGTAACTATAGCTGTTTTGCTGTTTAACTGTGTCATTATTAGCTCTTTAGTCATCTGTAAAGCTGTGCTTCCAATATGAGGGACTGTGTATGTAAACCCTGACACATTATCATATTATTATTATTATTATTACATCTCAAATCCTCAGGGGTCCTTTGCTCGACCGTGTTTTACTTGAAACTTCATGATAAATTCAGTATATCTTAAATAGTGTTGGTGGAATTTTAGAACATTATGTCAAATCATTTCCAAAATAAAGCTTAAAACTGCTCGTGGACCCACTTTTAGTACATTTATTTCTTGCACATGTAAATTTGAGGTTTGATGTTTGAAAAGTCAGTGTCAGGATAAAAAAAAAGCTATTTCTCTTCATACCATTGAATCTGCGACAATGACAAGTAGATAACATGTTTTCTGATAATGTGTGAGTTGAAATATGAAAAAAAAACAAACAAAAGAAACCAACATTAAAAGTCCATGTTTGAGCACACGTGAATAAGAAGAAAAATGGTAATGGAAGAATTCCTGGCACACCTAAATACCACGTTGGGGACAGTCAGTTATGATACTTCCAAAATAGACACAAAACTACATGAAAGGTCTCCTCCAAATAATAATACTTCAGAAATTCACAAGACTTGTTGTTGTCTGTTCAAGGGGCATACAAATTAACGCTTCTATTTTGTCCCGGTTTGATTTTTACTCTTCTTTGACAACAGGAAAATGGACCATCTACGTTCACCATCTTCTTCATCTTCATCTACATCTTTATCTTCTTCTTCTTCTTCATCATCTGCATCTGCGTCTTCATTTTCATCTCCTATGGGTGACTCAGCCTTTTTGACCAAACTCCCACCAAATTACGAGTTCCTACAAGTCCTTGGAAAAGGCGTCTACGGANACAATATAGATTTAGAGGTGACACAGCAACACAAGCACCACGTTACACAATCAGTTACACAAGTTAGTAAGGTGTTGTTGGGGAGGTGGGGCTCTCCACAGGGACAAGTCACGCTGTCATGTGAGGAACCTACAGGGAGAAGTCAAGAAGAAAAAATAAAGAAAGAATTGCAGTGAATTCTCCAGACGTTCCAACAACTCGTGATTATGTTGAGAGGGCCGAGATGAAAAAAATAAAAGTGATACACAAGAAACAATCAAAAGGATGTGATTTGACAACTTGTAAAACATTTAATCTCATTACTGATGTCTACACAAAACTATATGAAGGCAAGAGGTCAGGATTTTAGGGATTTTTTTTTAGGTTTTTATTAACACTTGGCACGGCTTAAGCTTTTTTTCTGAAACAAAAACACATTCTGTACGATAAATACGGAAGTGTTATGATTGGCATCGCATCAAGGAATTACACCATTTTTCACGTGCAGTATAAACTTCCTGATAGCAGGAACATTTGCTGACACAAAAGCCTGTAAAGTCTGCTTTGACAATAAAGTGTGTGGGACAGCCAGAGCATTATGTCCATTACCAAAAGCTTAATGATACATTTGCAAAGCATTGAGTGGGAAGCTCGAGGGTTGGGCCAAACAAGAAGGGCAAAGGGGAAATATGACACTAATGCATTGTCAAACATCAAAAAGGACTCAGTCATGAAGTTAGCCATACTGGTTTTCCTTCTTGATAATAATGTGAGGGGGTGAAATGTCAAAGTTAGAGGCTGAGGTTAGATGCAGTGCACACCAGCTACCACAGGAGGCCCATTTTCCTCAAGCAGACCCTCTTCTTCTTATTTAAATGGCAAATTCATCACATAAAATGACATGATTTCTCTGCTCCATAACTATAAACATCCTGTTTCATAGTGTTGGGATTTTGAGAAAGTTGCAATGCAGCAAAAAAGCAGAGAAAGCAAATGATTCACAAATGTATCACCTCTCAATAAATGCTTTATTTCCAATTTAATAAGCAGACTGTTGCCTCAATGAATAATCAAAAAACAAAAGCTTAAGGAAGATTACACTGAAAATAAAAAAAAGTGAATTTCCCCCCAGGGATGAATGAAGTATGTCTGTTCTATTCAATAAAATACAGGCCCTTAAGTAGAACCTTAGTGCCACAAAAGTCAACAGACCTGTGATCACAGAAACTAAATTGAGTACATGTGAGATTTCCAGTCAGTCTAATTGCATGGCCATAAAATAAAATGTGAATACCACAACTTCCTGCTTTTTAGACTATGTGCTTTGTCCATCT